AGTTCCACCTGCTCCCCCCCAGCCCCTCCTTGGCTGCTCCCCTTGGCAGCAGGGATCACCCCCTGTCCAGGAGCACCTAGTGAACCAGGGCTTTTCTTTTCTTTTTTTTTTTTTTTTTTTTTAACAAGTGCCCGGAGCTGGAGCATCCATTGCCAGGCTGGGAGAGAGGCAGGGGATGGGCCTGTCTGATTTGGAGAATCAGAGATTCGACTGCTGCCGAATCTCCAAATCAGAGTCGGCCGAATCAAACTGGGACAGTGATTCAAATCACCGAATGGAATCACTGTCCCCTGAATCAGCCGAATCCGAAGCAAATACTAGCCGCTTTGCACAGGCCTAATACGAAGGAGTGTGATCCCTGATCAACATAACTTCTATATTGCTGGTACTTGCTTATATGTTGGTAAAATCCCCTAGTGTGGACTCATTAAGAGTGGCAAAATTATGCTTCTTCAGGCATAGGTTTGTGGAACTAGTTCTACTCCACCAGTGCACAGCGCAGCTTTGCTACTACTACATCTATACTCTCCTTGTAAAACACTCCTACTGGAAATATGTGACTTCCCTTATACCAACACAATCTTATTGAATACATGGGGCCTGGTCTATACTGACAAAGATTTGCCAGTACACTGACACTAGTAGTACTAGACACTGGCAACTTTCTAATAAAGATGCAGTTTAAGCCTCATTTTAGTAGACCTTAAACTACTTCCCAAGTAAAATAAATTATAATGGCAAAAAGATTGTTCTGTTGATATAACTGTCTGCATTAGGGCTTTTGCTGGAACGCGTTACGTCAGTTATCTCTTGGCATTGTAAATCTCTTGGCGTTGTTGACAGCTTTTGCTACTTGGGTTCCACAATCAGCAGGAATCTCGACCTTCAGACTGAACTGCCGAACAGAACTGGAAAAGCTGCTAAGAATTTCCGGCTATTACAGAAACATGCCTGGAATAACGGCAAACTATCAACTAAGGTGTAGATGTGAATCTCCGAGACTTGAGCTCTCTCATCCCTGCTTTGTGGTTAAGAAACATGGACTACGTATACTAGGCACATCAGGAGACTGAACAGCCTCCACATGAGATGTCTGTGCAAGATTCTAAAAATAAAGTGGGAAGACAAAATGTCAAACTCAGAGCAAGCAGGCCTGACACACTTAGAAACTGCTATCAAGAAGAGGAGGTTGTGATGGCTCGGCTATGTCAGGAGAATGGGAGGAGACCATATCCCCAAGAATATTTTTTATAGCAAGATATGAGATGGCTCTAGAAAGGAGGGCCGCCCTCTATGGTGGTACCACAGTGTGTCCAAAAATGGTTTAAAGTAATTCAACATCAGCGTAGAAAACTTGGAGGAATGCACAGAATCCCATCCAATCTGGAGGTATCGTCTGGCACTGGATGCAGATGAAGTGACTCTGATCCAGAGGATGGAAGCAAAGCGAGAAAGAAGAAAGCAGCGTGCTGTAAATTTGGACTCCAACTCTAACACCACATGGATGCATGAAACTTGTAGCAAGCTGTGTTGTTATCAAATTGGGTTTGTTAGCCACAAGCAGATTCATCAGGCACCTGACTAGACCTCTTACCCCTACAACATAATCCAGAGGATCAACTGTTGCCTATATATATATATGTCAGTTATGGGCGAGAAAAAAAAAATCACACCCCTGCTAAGTTAGCTACGCCAGGAAATATTAAGCACAGGTTCTGTCCCTTAAGTGAGAACAGAACCTGACCCTCCCCTGAACCTTACTCTTACAGACTGTGATAGAAATAGAAACTGATGGATAGTTATCTATACTCACTGCTGGTATGAACACACCAAAAAACAACATATGGTGGAAAGAGAATCCACTTTCATTTGCTTTAAGATTGCAAGCACAGGTTTTCTTTGGCAGTCCTATCCTTCCTACTCGTCAGCAAAGAAAAGCATGCTTAGTACTGCAGTGTGCATTGAACACGTTCAGCTCTGACAAATCTAAATATAAGAAATGGTGACCTGTTTTATAAAATGGACTATTCTTGGGTTATGATGATGAGAAGGGAGCGTGGCTTAGAAACACAGAATTTCAGTGAAACTCATAAGATGTGGCTTCTGTTCCCAGCTCTGCTACTAACCTACTGAGTAAACTTTCTGTCCCCCCCTTTCTTCATCTTTAAAATGGGGTAACAAAGTCCGTTTCCTTTGTAAAGTACTTTGAGATCTATTGATGGAAAGTGCTACATAAGAACTAGGTGTCATAAGAACTATTATTTTATGGACAACTGTCCCTCACACAATAGAGGTGTCTCTGAAAGCAGAAATTCATCTTGTGGTTGTTTCCAATTGCATCTATTTAAAATAAGAAAAATAGCTGCTACATTATTCTATTTCACTAATGCAAATAGGTCAATCACTTAGAAAATTGACCAAGTCACCAAGTCAAAGAAGGCATGTTGCATTTTCACAAAAATTTTTTTTTTTATTTACACATTTGATGTTAGGAGCTGTGAAATGGAACAGAATTCTATTTACAAAATGTTTTTTCTGATGCTGGAAGCTAGAGCATTTCTCAATTAGCTCAGGGAGCAAATATATAAAAGACAAGAGGTTAAGCAATACCACAGTGCCCAACGGACCATCTGGTGAACATTAGAACTGTCAATAAATCATGAAAGCACCAGTTCATCAAGAAAATTCCATTTCAAACCACTGACAGGGAAAAAAAGGACGGGAAAAAACTCACAAAATTAGTATTTTCAGCTTTTATAAAAACAGGATCATTAAATAACTTTAATCTAATTTCAGTTGTTTTATTGGTTCTCTTCTGATGCCCATATGGCTTCACATGTTGATGTTTAGCCCTCAGTCTTCCATACAAAAGCGCCACGAACTAAGTTAGCTGTTAGCTCTCTTCATAGGAGAGGCTCATCTCCTTTAGTCCTTCTCCTCACCATGGGTGATAACGTAACAGAGGTTCTTATAATCAAGATTACCAGAGACATCTGGGGGAAAAGCAGCAAACATCTGGTTGACCTGCGAAACAAACAGGAAATAAGTATTGCAAATGCAGGCCTGTAGGACAGGAACTTGTACTGATCTCCATATGAATTCTAACCCAATTCAGCTGCTCTACAGCTTCATCCATTGCCCACTGTGGAAATTTTTCCATTGGCTAAGTCTTGAAGCAGGAGTCAAGGCATTGTTAGTTAACCCATTGCTATTGGAGCCCACTGAACCAAAAGAACTCTAATGCAAATTCAAGGAGAATCTATTCCACCGTTGCCTTTCAATTAGCAAACTCCCGTCTGAATGCAGACCAGGTCACATAACCCAGGCTTAAAGTAGCTAGATCACTGCCCTACAACCAAGCAGACCAGTTCAGAAATTACTCCCAATTCCAACCAGAGCAACTCTCATAGAAATAACCTAACGCCATGCCCAGCTGAAGTCCAGTAAATTCTTTCTAAGCTTCTGGCAGGCCAGAACATCTGGATTTAGGCTGGTCTGACACCCGCATGAAAACCTAGGGAATTTATTTGATTCTGATTTAGAAGCTCTTCAGATAAGGCAATTTATATTGCTCTTAATTGCAACAGTTGATCCAATCAGGTTAGATTCAAACTATATTCTTACATGCAAGAAGGGGCAAATGTCTCTTACTGAACAGCAGTTAGAGATAAATTGAAATTCTCATTTCGAATCCGGGAAAGGTACTTACCTCTTCTTTACTGAAACGGTCTGCTTGTGTCATAAGCATTTCTTTGATGCTGTTCAAATAAAATAAAATAACCTGATTAACTGGCGATAACAGTATGTGAACATTCAGACTCCAAAATTGTTCCTGAAGCTGCATTGGAGAAAACTCATGTGGCTGCATAAATGAGGGTGTTTAGTCCTCAAATATACATTATAAGAGATTTACAACGGGCAATCATCAATGTCACCAAGTGGTTCTTATGTAGCATTTTGTAATGATTTGAAATGATTTAAGGTTATCACTATATTTGTAATACTCAGTTTTGCATGCCTATCTTAATGTAAAAGTATGAGGTTGTACTTTGTGTTTAAAAGCATGTACAACTTAGAAACAACAAAAAAGAGAATATTTGCTGACAATGGACATCAGAGAGAACTCCAATGGCTACTCAAAATCATCATCACAGTAGCCTTTTATTTGCATGTAGTCCTCCTGAGAGGAGATTGTGAAAGGCACAAGTCCTGCTGTATTTCACAGTAAACTCACTTGATGTGGAGCTACTGAAATTTAACAGAGACTTTTACCCCATGTACAGAGTAATGACAGTAATGTCAAAGAGACTGTACTTCGGTCCAGAACCTCAGCTGTTATCCATACCTACAGCTCTTCTGTTGGGATAACTTTGTTAGGTAGGTACACAATTTATTGAAACTCCTAGATTTATAGAATTGAAGACCAAAAGGAACCAGTATCTAGGCTGAAATCTTTCATATCAAAGGGTCTTGTAACAGCTTACACTGAGCCACACAAATGTTGATCAGTGTTAGTGTCAGCTCAAGCTTGGAGCAGTCACACTTCCAGCCACTGTGGCCCTGAGGACTGAAAGGTAAGAAACCTCCCCACTCCCATTTCTGGCTTCCCCCTCCCCCCCCAGGTTCCCCCAGTTCCTCCCACCCTGGGGCTCCCCCTCCCCACCTTCCTTGTGGCTACACAGTGTCTGTCCTAGGGGGAGCAGGCAGGGAAGCTGCTGGGCTGCTGTTCTGCTCCAGATGGTGGCAAGGTGGGCAGGTTAACCCTTCTGGGCCTGCTCCCCCAGGACAGACAGTGCAGGGGGTAGGGGGGGGTAAAGAGCATACCAGTTTCAGGGTTTTGTTTTATAAATAAAAGACCAAATGGACAAATGCTGTTCTTTTTATATGGAAGTAGGATCCATTTAATTTTTTCACATGCATCAATAAAATAGCATGCGTTTACATTTTAAAATGAGGCTGCCAGACTGCATTTAGTAACTCATCTGTAGGCTTCATCATGCTTTTATGGTGTCTGCATTATTATTACTTTAGGTTCTACAAGGTTCATTCAGAAAGTTTGAATGCCTCTTTTTTTTCCCTCAGCCAGATATTCAAAAAATACTACACCTGCACAGAAAATATGTACACCATCACTGAAAACATGGCTGTTTTCCAGCAGTCTCCTCCCCAATCAGTGACCTTTTTTCCATTAGTGAACAAGTGCATGTACAGTAACATGGTATAAAGAAATGCTTGAAAAATAGCTGT